ACTATGTCACAGCCGTCATTTGAGATAGTTTTTGTGCAATTGCACACATTTCTGAACTCTGAACTGCATTCTGCTGAATATTCGTCCAATTCATTTTTTGTTTCTTCTTACAGTATCTCGTTTAAATCTGCTTTCAGCGCTGCGGCACCGCTCAAACCACCGCGCCGATCTTCAGAAATGATAAAGTAAGCTAATCAATTTACCTGGTCGAGTGATTTTCATATATGAACCCTCTTCTTTCAATGTGCGTTGTGAAATATTTCAATTGGTGGAGCTTTTTCAACAAAATTTGGTGAACTCCAGTTCGGGGGGCCAGGGCACTCTTTTTTTTTTTCTCCAATACTCAAGATAAGGATTAGAGGGCTCACGACACGTAATCGACTCATTTAAAGTAGACTTCTGATAAATATTGGTGTAATGGGTGAGAAACCCTGAAACGTTTTCACATTTCCGCCTGCCATGACCCAAGGGAACGGTCCTGGACCAGGAGAAAGGACACCTCCGCAAAGGGCTAAGGGTGCAGGAGGGTGGATCACCTGTGCAGAAAAGTGGATGGGATGTGGGCAGGTAGTGTGGAATGTAGGACATCCACCGGTCCTTATCAAAAGTACGCTCGAAATGAGTCGTTCACTTATTATCTTATCCGTAGTGTTCGATAGCCCAAAGAACTGCTCTCTAGTACTACGGATAAGATAGCAATGGAGTGGCCCCCCCCCCCGAACTGGAGTTTCACCAAAATTTGCGCTTGAGTGCCCATAGGGCTAAGTTGTGGCGTATATGCGTCTCCGATACCGAACACTCAGTTCATCCGAAGCCTTATTGAGAGAGATTCAGAGTGCCTCGGCGTTTTCATTTTTCCCTCCCCTTCCTGCTCCCTGCAGCCTCTTTCTAGACTACGGCTTCGGGCCTTCCTATCACTCTTAGGGATGACGTGTGGCCGTAACCATCCGCAAAGTTATGCCCAATTTTCTTTCTTTTAGGAGGAGAGGGAGGCGGGGAGGGGGGAAGTTGGGGAAAGATAAAAGGGTAGTTGTGGCTCACTGAAAGAGCTCGACTCAATCTACCGAAACCAGTGCAAGTGAAAGTATTGCACCCTCTATTTCGGAAACGAGAAGAGCGTCGAGTGCAGACCACACACCACAAGTGACGACGGCAAGAAAAAATGGCTTTTCTTTTCTTTCTTGGCCGTCGTCACTTGTGGTGTGTGGTCTGCACTCGACGCTCTTCTCGTTTTCTGAAATACTGCTAGGAGTGTCATGCGACGCTATCTCCCTTTGGTATATTGTCAAAAACCTAGCCTTGTTATGATGGAAACTCTTTTCGAAAGCGCATAGATAATCAGTTTTCTTGGAAAAATTATTTATCATTGAAATTTTATTCTTCAAGCTGATGGTCCACGAAAACAGAAGAAAATATTTTCCACATTTAACTCATAAGCGAACTTTCAAAATGGATAATAGGAAATTTTATGATATCTATCATAAGAGCTACGCAATAGACAAGTGAAGCATGTAGTATTCAAGTACATTAGTTGTCTGTGAGTTTGCCGGCTGTAGGCACGCGCGGTCGCGTTTACGGTCGCTGCATGACTGTAAACGGAAGCTTATGGCAACCTTCATTGTACAAATTTATGTGATTTCGGAAATTCACCTTTTTTCACTATCGCGGAAGTGAATAATAATCAAGCTTTGTAGAGAATCTAATTAACTGAGTTTTGGGAATTTCCCTGGGAGATACGTGGGTAAAGGCTAGCTTGGGTTTTTTATAAGCAACAATATTGTTTTTTGTTATTGGATTAAATAATTAGATTTCCCATTGAGTCAGAAGTAAAGTGAAGATACCTGCAACGATTGTGCGCTGCATTTTATGCTATGTTTACCCACCCCTCTCCTTGCTATTCGTCGGAAACCTCTGCTATTCCTAAATTTATAAACCCCACTACCCCGGGTTCACCTCGACGAGGAGTGAAAAGTCAGTGAAACAAACGTCACTGCTCAATCCTATTTTTGCGATGAGCCACACACAATAAATAAATAAATAAATAAATAAA